TTCCTGAATTAATCAAACTTCTGAATAACCCAGTGTTTGGGATTTCGATGGCACCACTGTAATGTTATAACAATGCATATCTATATTCAGAACGTGTTATTTAATATATATACCATTCTATTTTGTGTTATATTGCTCACAGAACAATGAGTTGGTGGTTAAGAGTCGCTGAAGTGCATTGCCTTCTTTCTCAGTAAAAGGACATGACGTCCCCCGGTTCCGTTGTGCCTGGCACCACCGGAGCTCCACTGCATCCGCGATGGAAGCGGGTTCTGGGATGGTCCGGGCCGGTTCCCCGACCGAGACACGGGCACAGAGCTGTAGCCATCAAGGAGCTGATGGTCGTTTTCGGCGGAGGAAACGAAGGAATCGTTGACGAGTTGCACGTTTATAATACAGGTGAGTAAAATGTTTTTATGAGGAACGTTTGTCTGCTGTGTCTACACTTTTTCATTATTATATTTCTTGCGCGCAATGATGAACTACCGACTTAGCTTGAAGTCAGTCGTAAATTTGTCTGCGTTTCGGAGAAAACGGCTTCTTATATTAGATACATGCATAGTATAACATGTAAAACATTCTGTGAGTTCATTGCAACGTTTGACGCACCGCGTGTCGCTCGCAGCTCGACTTTTGTGGGGGAAAGGCGCCAGAAAACAAAAATGGACGTTGACCGCCGTCGCGTCACGCGCACGCCCCCCTCCTGCACGTGCACAAGTGCGCCTTATTGTTATCTTTTGGCGAGTAACTTACTGTGACTGTTGAGCCCACAATGACATTAGTAGTATTGTGGAAAGTAGGCTGCACTAGACTAGACAATACCTTGCCAGTAGGTATTTCCAGACATGTTTTATGATATTGAGAAGTAGTAAGAAGTTTGGGGTGTGTGTGTGTATATATACACACACACACACGAATTCCATTAAATACTATTCATTTTGTGGGTTATGGTGAAAGAGTTAATTTCCCAGAAAGCTCTAATTTATCTCACTATGTTCCCAATGAAGCCAAACAATCAAATTCCTCTGTTGTGTGACTTTTCAGTTCTCTGAATTGCAATTCAGTAAATTTCTCTTACTGTAATTCAATGGACCCTTTTCACAAGACTGACGCGTTTCAACGGTCATCAAAAATCCTCAAGTTTTTTTGTATTTTTAATTTTTTAAACGTATGTGCATTTACAACACTATACTTTGTATTATATTTGCATCAAATTACAAAAAGTAGTTAATGCTAATGTGAGGGTGTTTCTAATACAGCGTCATTTGGTGTTTTGACCTCAAAGTTTAATCAAAGTGTCTCCTGTAAAACCAAGTCCCCACCCTACATTTTTTCTTTCAATAATCTGTTACACTTGGGTGTACATCGCAATATGGAAGAAAAGATCTGTTGCTACTTCAGTTTCATTGTGGTTTAGTTTTTCTTTTTTCACATAAGATGTCATGGCATGATGTATTGTTCTTCTGTTGGTCACATCTCTTCTTCTCCTTGACTTTTGTCCTACTGTCCATTTTGTTATTTTGACAATTAGAAAGTGCTTTGATTTTATAAAATGCTTTTTAATGACATTGGCTTTCAAACTGCAAGAGAGCTTTATTGCAAGTTGTCTACACCTTTTCACTGAGATATTGACTGAATAATGAAATAGGCTATATCTTTCTTTTTCAGCAACAAACCAGTGGTTCATACCAGCTGTTCGTGGAGACATTCCTCCAGGCTGTGCAGCTTATGGTTTTGTATGTGATGGCACACGTCTATTAGCTTTTGGTGGAATGGTGGAATATGGAAAGTACAGCAATGACCTTTATGAGTTACAGGTAAGAAAAAGTTATTTAAAATCACTCTGTTATGTGACTAAAGGCTTGAATACACTACACAAATTTGCCCAGATTTGCAGGCTTATTTAGCCAACGTTAGTTGCCGAAAGATATACCTGGCCTGCTGATTTTGGCCAGTCAGAGTTGACAGATTTCACAGAAAATTACATAGTGTATGATGGGCACAGACTCTGAATTTTTAGCTTTAGACTATTATTTCAACCAGTTGGATGATCAAAAGTGTGATATTTTGAGCCATCTTTTAGAGCACACATTGTTTTTATTTGTAATGTGTGTCCAAACAGCGAGGTGCATGTTTCTGTATGAGTTTGTGTTTGGAATGACGTGGAAGTCTGGTAGTGTGTGGCCCTCACTCAGTCATTTAGTGTATAATACCCAGTTTTTCCTCTGTATCCGTTTACGTAGTCGGCAAGTGTGTGATGCATAGTGTTTTAATATCTCTTCCTGTGGTTCTGTGGTTACTATTATCAGGCAAGCAGATGGGAATGGAAAAAATTGAAACCAAAAGCCCCTAAAAATGGAGCACCACCATGCCCTCGCCTGGGCCACAGTTTTTCTCTTGTGGGAAACAAGTGCTATCTTTTTGGGGGGCTTGCCAATGACAGTGAAGACCCCAAGAACAACATTCCCAGGTATTCCTATCATGTAATAATGTGGTCAGTAAATAAAAATATTTATACTATTTAGTTCCTAGACTCATTTATGTGTGCTTCCAGATATTTGAATGACCTTTATACCCTTGAGCTGCGTCCGGGCTCCAGCGTTGTGGGCTGGGATATACCGGTCACATACGGTGTACTGCCTCCTCCAAGAGAGAGCCACACTGCTGTAGTTTATACTGAAAAAGCTACTAAGAAGTCCTGTCTTGTTATATACGGAGGAATGAGTGGTTGCCGTTTGGGAGATCTTTGGACGTTAGATATTGGTATGAAGGTTATCTCTGTTTTTAATGTGGTGCTTGTCAGACATTGGTCATTAATTCAACCAGTCAATTAGGTTAAGCAATAATTAGGCCATTCTTTGCTTTTCAGATACACTGACCTGGAACAAGCCAGCAATAAGCGGCACAGCTCCCCTCCCCCGTAGCCTCCACTCAGCCACCACTATTACAAACAAGTGAGTTTCAGTGTAATCTAGAATTGCATCACCACAGGCATTCCCTAAATGCACACAATGGCATTACTGACCTTTAATACCTTCATCTGTTTTGTCTGTAGAATGTATGTTTTTGGTGGCTGGGTTCCTTTGGTGATGGATGATGTGAAGGTGGCCACGCATGAGAAGGAATGGAAGTGTACAAACACACTGGCCTGCCTGAACTTGGGTATGTTTTTGCTAAAGTACATGTAGTATTAAAAAATATATTTCTTTTAAACCAAGTCTGTTATGCTCACCAAGGCTGCATTTAATTTCATTTATAAAAAATGTAGTAAAAAGTCATGTCGTAAAATGTAATTTAAAGCTGTTTTCTAGTTTAATATATTTTAAGTAATGATGGCAAAGCTGAATTTTCAGCAGCCATTACTTCAGTGTCAAATGACCCTTCAGAAATCATTACTATAATTACTGATAAATGTGTCTAGTCTGTGCGATAAGTGTAAATGCAGCCTGATGCTACTTTAATTAATGTTGTTAATGTAAATGAAACCGTGATCAAACAAAAATTGGTATTAAGGATCGTGAAATTTCACTTAAAATGTTATCTACTGGAAGTTATGGTATTGTGACAATCCTATCTGTGAAATGTTAGGATTGAGCCCAAACAGCATGTTTTGATTGCAGTTTGTCATGTTATAGCATATTCTTGAAATGTAAAAAAAAGAGCTTCCTTTTCCTTTTAGACACCTTGTCATGGGAGACTGTTTTGATGGACACTTTGGAGGACAACATACCACGTGCACGAGCAGGACATTGCGCTGTTGCTATTAACAACAGACTTTATGTTTGGAGTGGACGTGATGGGTACCGCAAAGCTTGGAACAATCAGGTGTGCTGCAAAGATCTCTGGTACCTGGAGACAGGTGAGTGCAACAGATATGCAGTATAGAGCATTTCTGACACAGTTAGGCCCAATTCCAATTCTATTTTATACTCCTCCGCCTACCCCTTTCCCTTGTCCCTTGAAACAGAGTGTCAAGGGGTAGGGGTAAAAATATTCCCCTAAGAATTGGGACACCACTTCTATACGTCACACATCATCATACGTCGTCTAGCTCCTACAATACACACATCTATACTGGTGTACTGGTGTGTGCATTAGAGCCTTTAATTACCGTTCTATATTAATGCGCTGCTTACTGACACACACACACATCAGATATCGCACAGCTCACACATCCAGGACCAGGAGCAAAGAAACTTGTCAACGCTGCCCGACAACTTTTGTTAATAACAGTTTAAATACTGAATCGCTACATTATATTTTCCAGCAACAAGAGGATAAAATCGCTGTTTTTGAAGTAAACTGACTCTAAAAAGAGAAACGCACAGACACGCATACACGCAACTTTAATCTCTCTCTCTCTCTCTCTCTCTCTCTCTCTCTCTCTCTCTCTCTCTCTCTCTATCTCTCTCTCTCTCTCTCTCTCTCTCTCTCTCTCTCTCTCTCTCTCTCTCTCTCTCTCTCTCTCTCTCTCTCTCTCTCTCTCTCTCTCTCTCTCTCTCTCTCTCTATCTCTCTCTCGCTCTCGAATTGGCAATATTTGAGAAAAGGGTTTAGTGATTTATAATTATTGGGGGGCTAGTCCCCCTCAATGTCTATGGTGGTTATCGCCCTGATCAGACATGAAAATATGTTGTGGCACTATTGTGCATTCTGTAATATGACGTTAGCAAACTTTAGCGATTTTTTGCAAACATTTCTTTGAGTAACATGACTGTAAATATGAACTCACAATTGAATGTAACATAAAACAAATGATTATTTTTCATTAAAATCTCTATTAATGCCAAAAATGCTTACATTTATGTGTCTTTTTGTTCGCTCTGGCAGCCATGTTGCCGCTGTAGCCGGTTTACACTGAGATAATTCATACCCCTTTGCTTGAAGTGTGGTCCCAAAAAATCTTCGTTTGAAGGGCTATCTATCCCTTCCCCTACCCCTATCCCTCCAACCAAAAGAGATTCGAGACACCCCTACCCCTTCATGTGAACGCGCAAAACGGAGGGGTAGGGGAAAGGGGAAGGGCTAAGGGGTAGAATTGGGATTGGGCCTTAAACTGCTTCATAAAATATCCAAATGCATAAAATGTTTCACATTGAGTAGTATTTTTTTGCATCAGTTGATTGTATTGAACCATGCAATTTGACTGGTTTTTGGCATTGCACATTTTCTTGCAGAGCGACCTAATCCTCCTTCACGGGTACAGCTTGTCCGGGCCAACACAAATTCTTTAGAGGTTAGCTGGGGAGCGGTGTCTACAGCAGACATGTACCTGCTTCAGCTTCAGAAATATGATATCCCATCAGCCACTGCTGCCACATCACCAGCCCTCAATGCAGTTCCCTCCCTCCCTGGAAACTCGCCTAAGAGTCCAGCGCCTGCCGCAGCTGCTCCGTCTGCTCAGAGTCTGCCGCAAAGTGGCATCACCTTCGTGCCCCAGGCTGCTTCTCCCACAGCCTCAGTCCTGCCCAGCACACCTGCAAGTCCTGTGGCTGCCTCAACAGCACGTGGCCCAGGTACCAATTTGTTAAATTGTTAATAGCACAGTAATTTTTTTGTGTACTCCATACTTAAATGTAATTTAAATATTCTTTCTCAGTATTTTTTATTTTTTTTGGAGTTTAACGGTTGAGTTTAACATTTTATTTTATATTTAAGCTATTTTGAAAGTTGCGGCCCCTCAGTCAGGCACCGGGACGTCGATTATCACTGTGCGGCAGGCCGGAAAATCCCCAGTCACTATGACATCACTTCCTGCAGGTGTTCGCATGGTAGTGCCAACACAGACCGCTCAAAGAACGGTATGAAGCAAAAAAGTAAAGCTGGAATGTATAAAAATGTTGATGTTTCATAAATTGTTTTATTTA